TACATAAATCAATTAAGATTATATCTCCCTCCCTCCTACATTCTTAACAGTTATAGTATGTACCCCACGTGTCATGTCTGTGTTACTCTGTATTAACATGCTGGCCATGAGCACATGTGTCATGTTTGTGTATTACTCTATACTGTATTAACATGCTGGCCATGAGCACACGTGTCATGTTTGTGTTACACTGTACTGTATTAACATGCTGGTCATGAGCACATCATACAACAAAAATTTTTATCTTTTTTTATTTTCCATTTTTTTTTTTTTTTAAGAAACATGGAGCAGCCTACCTGCCGAACATCGAACAAACCTTTTGCTGCAAGACAAATGGAAAAAAAACATATTGAACAAATTTGAAGAAATAAAAATGTCGAAGGTTTGTGCAGTGTATGTAAGGTAGGCTGCTCCATTATTTAAAACATTGAATATCATATTGATGTTTTTTGGTGGTAGAACGGATTAATTTGATTTCCATTATTGTCAATGGGGACATTCGTTTTGTATGACGTCCGTTTCACATGACAATCACGGCACCGGAACGGATTAAATTTGTTATTCGAGGTTCCACTGTATAATAATTATTATAATATTATATTTAAGAATACATCCAGTGCTGTACTATTTATTTTGTATGTGATTGCAAGCATTCAGCTTCTACAGAAGTGTCATCAAATATTTACCTTCATCTCAAAGCTACTTTTTTTTTTTTTTTTTTTTTTTTTTTTTTACTCTTTCTAAAAATAGAACAAAAAATATGTTGGTTAAAAGTTTTGATATAAAATGTGCCAACATTTATAATACAAAATAAATTTCTGATATTAATTGAATTCCATGGGAATCCAGTTAATACATAACTTTATATGACTGACATTTGAAGAAGGATCTTTTATTCTAATGATGGAATAGAAGTACTTTAGTATGGAGAAAAAAGAACAGTAGTACAGCAAAGAGATGTACTGAACAAGATGTACCGTACTGTATGTCATATTACAGGTACAACACTAAGTCAGGAAGTTTGAAAATGGTAAAATCCATACACGATTAAATGTGAGGTTACCAAAAGTTCACATTGATAATCTAGTAGTAACCGTGTAAGGTACTTTTTGTAAATATTCAAATTCATCAACTCTCTACAAATTTGATGGTTAGTGACTGAAATGAGATAATCCATGGAGCAAGACAGAGATTGAACCAGTGTCCTGGATAGCCCCAGACTATTGTGATTTCCATGCATTTAGTGACTGAAAACATTTGAGGATGACTACAAGAAGCCATTAATTCTTTGAGGGACCAAGGAATTAAAGATAATGAGATAGTGAGAAGTGTTGTCTTGTGACTGACTAGCAGTGTTGCCAAATAAAACTGATAAGAGGTTTATGATGCAATACATACAAGATTCAAATAAATGATATGTAAGCAAAAGGACATTTAACTCTTGAATTGCACGACCAGCGATATTAAGTTTTACCAAGGAAGCACATGAATAACAGGCATTGTTAACTTGTGTTACCACATGACAGCCAGCATACAGCAGTCAGGATATAATGTGTTACCTCGGTCATCAATAGATGGTTCAAGCTCATATAAGCTACTTGTAAAACTCATTTGATTTTGTCTGAATGTAAAGCTAACGGATAACATGTAAAAAAAAAAATATAATAAATTCAAACTGTCACCATGTAAACCAGTGTTGTTATTGTTTCATATTAGGAAGAAAAAATCATTAATGTGTACTCTGTTATAAACCATAAAGTTACAATATATATATAATATTTCATGGATAATAATTGTAAATATTGTGAAATTATACACACACATGCATTCTCTGAAGGAGACGGGAAGTGTTACCTTTCTCTTCTGCTGGAAGGGAAAATTGATTTCCAGTGCAACTTATTTTCCCTGCTTCTACCATGTAATTCTATAGATATATATTTTTTTTTTTTGCTTGCACCAAGAGTTCAGTAATTAATTAATTCAGCAGACCAAGGGTTAACCTCAAGATTTGGTGAAAGTTTCATTGATTGTATGCAGGTAAAAAATAATTTAATATTGATTATGAAGCTTAAAACTTGTATGTAAGAGTAGTATTACACAACTTTAATGGGGAGTAGATACCCAGTTCAGTTTAGTAATTAACTGAAAATGCACTTGCCCAAGTGTGATATGCAGAGGCAAACTCCTTAACATGTTAACAGCCTGGGCATAGAATATCATGGTAAATACCAAACTGAAAAGATAGAGATGTATTTATCAAGAAACTCTCAGGGTATTAAATATAACATGCAAGCCCCCCCCCCCCAAAAAAAAATGTAAAGACCTAGTAGAAATGTTGATAAAAGTAACAAGGAAATGAATTGAGATGACAATATTTTTTTAAAATAACAAAGGTTGTCAGCAATGGTACATATGTACTACTGTACACATGTACCACTGTACATACGTACTCATATATTACTGTTTATTGTATTTTAAACACATTTCACTTCTAAAATTATCTCAAGACATCTACATTCAAAGATTCAAAGTACTGTACAATGGAATGCATTTACAAAATTTATTATATATATAACAAACAAACCTGTACAACCTTGTAAACAAAAGAGTGCCGTTATCATGTGGAGTTTGAAGAGTTTTTCATATGGAGTATACCAAGTTTTCCTCTTTTTCTAAAATCAAACATTGAATCTAATGAAATACCATATTCTGGTGGGGTCCTCAAGACACTTCCCAAGCTAAGCAAAGTACTGGTCTTAGGGGATCTCTGTATTTGGGGGATCAGAGATCAACCCAAAACCAAGAAAACCCCTACCAGAAAGCACAGACAACTCAACAAACAACAACAACAACAACTTGTTTGTTGAAAACAAAACTTCTTGGAGAAAATTAGTTACCTAAAGGTAACAAGGCAAATGATCATTGCCATCATGCAAATCCCCTAATACAATGTTCCTGACTGCCACCAAGTGGAAGCCCAGGTCACCAGGTTCCCAGCCAGCCAGTATTCTCACTCAAGATCTGCCTAAACTGAACTCCCTCCACCCCACAGGGAAGATAGAAAGAATGGAAGGATGGGGACAGGAGGCTACAGAGGGCCCCATCAGAAAAATATGTTTCCTTTCATTCAATGTTTGATTGCTGAGAAGGCCCATTCAATAGGTTCAGGAGCTTATTCACAACAGAACTTTGGCAGAGAAGACCAGATTCTGAAAAAGAATAACATGAACAGCAAAACTGCAATGAGGGCTTATACACGAGAAAAATCAAGACAACCAAGCACTACCTGGACTCCGAGGCAACTTGAAAAGAGAATCTCCCAGAGAAAATAACACTGTTGAGGAAATGGGAAATAATAGATGATGCCAGGAAAGGTAACCCTAAAACAAAGCCAGGACAAGCTAATTGCCTAAGGACACACAAGATGGTGAGCATAAACACACTCAAGATGATGAAAGCTAAATTCTAATCATACCCCTCCATGAAATGAAGTCACAAGTAATGATAACACCACTTGGCTCAAAAAAGTTCCAGTTCACTAGACAGTGGTACCTCGGAATACGAGCGTCCCTGTTTACGAGTTTTTCAGATTATGAGCAGGATTTGCTTGGAAAATTTACATCGGAATATAAGCGTGGCCTCGGAATACGAGGGTGTTGATTCGCGTACAGGCTGACTAGCGCGTGGTGGCACGGCGATCGCACCTCAGTTTACTAGTGCCTCGCGTCCAGTGCCTATTCCGCCTGAATTCTTCACAGGGACTTACAGTTTTTTGTCAGATTTTTGGCCATTTGAACATAAAAGTTATTATATATCTTGCCATGGGTCCCAAGAAAGCCAGTGGTAAGGTTCACCCTAAGAAAATAGTTGTGAGTAGAGGATGTCCCTTCTTCATTAAGAAAATGTGTGAAGTATGGGAAAAACTGCAAAGTTTTGTTGAAAAAACTCACCCAGATAAAGCTGTAGCAGGCTGCTACATTGACCTTTTAAATGACAATGTGATGTCTTACTACAGACAAGTGTTAAAATGTAGGGAAAAACAAGTGTCTTTAGACAGATTCTTAGTAAGACAAGCAAGCAGTGAGCCACAAGCAGGTCCTAGTGGTATGCAGGCAAAATGTGCCAGAGTGCACACCAGTGAAGTCCTCACTGCCTGATGTTATAATGGAAGGGGACTCCCCTTCCAAACAGTAACACCTCTCCTCCTCCTCACCATCTTCCAGATGCCAACAGCAGTCATCAGCAAGGATAAGTAATAACTTGACCATACTTTTGTAGTGTAGATCTAGATGGATTAGGTATAAAATTTAGTTTGAAGTAAGATTTTTGGGTAGTCAGGAACGGATCAATTCATTTGCCATTATTTCTTATGGGGAAATTAGCTTCGGTTTACAAGTTTTCGGATTACGAGCTGTCTCCAGGAACGGATTAAACTCTTAAACCGAGGTAACCCTGTACTGTAGTAGTAGTAGTGATGTGTTTGGTACTAGGCACACGAGTTGAGATGCAAGCGAACTGAACCCCCATGATGACCCAAGCTGCCACCTCATGGTGTGCTTGGGTACTAATATATGGTTTGTTCATATTAGGCAAACTACCACTTCCATTGATTCCATCTTTTCACTCTATAATCATGTATTATTTGTTTCATCTTTCATGTAATTTCAGTGCTTTTTCGGTTTTGAGTCTATCTTAGACTCCCCCCCCTCCCTGCGAGCATGCTTGATTCTGGTCCTGGTGTTCGGTAGGTCTACACCAAGTCCAGAGGCATGATATTCATGTAGATGCCTCTGTGGTACAAAGTGCCAGTCCAGTTATTACCAGATATTGTTAAACTGGTAGGAATTCTTATAAATAGTAATAAGAGATCATCATAAAAATATACAGAATAAAAATGGGACACTGCCAGTTATCCAGACTGAATCATTTATAAAAAAATCTAAATAATAAATGACTCGTTAATTTTTCTTTTTAATCTTTGGGAAAAGGATGACACAATCTAAAAAAAAATTGTATACAATATTTATTAATAAAGCATACGAGTAATATGGCACTGGTGATGATACAGTTACATTAGGTGGGGCAGTGTGATCATGTAAAAGTTATATTTAGTTCATTAGTCTTAATCACATATGCCTTCCATGACCATATGCTAATAGACTTTAATGCAGTGCATTAGATTTTAACTCTGTTCCCAAGCAGATATGTGCACTGATTATCACTCAGTTATGCATTACCTGACTAGCTCATTCCTCCTGTTCTAGCATGGTTGCCAATTAATTTGGCAAAAAGTACACATTTCCACAATGGAACCCAGATGCTTTTCTTTTAAGCTATTTAATTTAATGTTGAAAAAGATGAAAAGCAAACCTGGTATACTGATAAATCATGTAAAAATTATGTACTAAAAAATTCAACAATTGAATGCTCACAATCACTTAATATTTAACATTTATATTAACTATGCATATGATATGAACTGATTAATTAATAATGCTTTCTGATCAACTAACTTGCTTTATAAAACATTCTTAGTCATAAGAAATATATTTATATATGTATATATATACACACACATGAGGTACTAGTACCTTCTTCCTTCATTACAAATAATATGAACAATTATATTTGCATGGCATAACTGCAAAATCATATCTTGGAATAAGCAAGCGCAAAGCTTGCTACATTAGTCAGACTTCATAATACATGACATACATCTCAATTATTGCAAATATGTTCATGCCACCAGACTCAACTGAGATAGTTATTAAGTGTAGTAGTTCACTACTGTACAACAAGGTTCTTACTATTAACATATAACATCACTCACAGACATAAATGCATTATAATGGAGGTTATCTGGCTCACAGGCCCGTGAAGCCTGCAATATAGCTGCCAAGGGGCGGGGAAAAGGGAGGAGAGTGACAGGTCACGTTAGCTAATTGGAGCATACCTCCATTATTATACAACAGAACCAAATGTGGTTCCATTACAAGTCCAAGTGCCAACATGGAGACACGACTTGACTATTATTGACCTGAGTCCTTAACAGTAATGTGGAGCATCATATAATTTAATTATTTCACCAGTAGATAACCAGATAAAGGAAATCCACTCACCAAAAATGCTATACATGTCCTAGGAATTATCCCAAATGCCTCACATACTGGCGGAATGAGTTTGTCACACAGCCAAAGGGGCTTATGACAAGACTGGTACATTATTAAGTAGTTGCAGAGGGCACAATGATTTGAACATGTGTTCAAGCTGAATACAACTTCCATCTGAGTAGGATATTCATATTTCTTTAGTCACAATCATTACAATTAAATAAAAAAGCCTTAAATAAGTCCTTAAAATTGAATCAAGTTGTTTACAAAAATGTTCGAGATACTGTACTGCTAAATTTGATCTTGATTCTCCTATAAAAAGTATTAACCTTCTCTGCATTAAGGCATATTAAAATCATTTTAAGCATGGCCCCAAGCACAACTTTTAAAATAATGTCAAACACATCAACAGTTTCCTTTCATCTTCACTGAGCAGACAAGTCACATTCTCCGCACTGAAGCTTAAAATATCATTTCATTCATCTTACCTTAACCCTTACAGTACACTAATCTAAAAATATTTGAACAATTAATATGACAAGTCTCTTTCCAAATGAGTTATAAATATGGAAAATATGAATAATATAACAAATCCATATATTTCCTTGGCTATACAGAATTTCATATTAATTAAATTCAAATATTGATATAAATTACTCAAATCTGGATAAAGACTAAGCCCTTAGTTCAAGATTTACTTTTTCTTGAAGATTTATGGGGATTTTTTTTTAATAAGTATGGGTAACTGAAGAAAAATACAAAAAATGGTCTCAAACTTAATATTTTGCTAAAGTATTTTTGGGCACAATGATACCCCATGCTTCAAAAATTTTACAATTTAACAACTTTCTATGTATAATAACAGGGTTTATTTCTTAAGGTAATAATAGCCAGAGAAATGTCAATTATTATTAATATAGCAATTTAGAAACAGAATAAAATGTTAAGTTTTGCAAGTAAAAACCCAGCATTTAATGTAATATAACCCCTCTCTTTTTGGTATACCAGTGCCTCCCTGTAGCTTTCTTGCAGAGACTATTTGAATATACCAGTCACATCAGTTGGTAGAGTTCATTTGGCTTACCAGGAACCAGTGCCAAAATCTGGCCCCCTTCACATGAGGTGCAAGGAGCAGATGGCCAGATGGCATTGCCATTTCATCTGGAAAGCATCCAGAAAGTCAGTGAAGCTTTACAGACAACTGCTGGGTTCATAAAACTCAAAAGCCTTTAACTACCAAATGGTAGTTAATGGCTTTTATTGCTCTATTGCTCAAATATTGCTCTCCAGACAATATAAAATACATTAAAAATAAACAAATTTAGCTAGAATCCGTTATTCCTGCCGGCACCAGGCAGCCCAGAGCTCGGTCCAGCATCAGTTATCAGATCGGTTCAGAAACAGATAAACACAGCAATGAACTGACTAACATGGAAGGGAGGGGAAGGGGACAGAGAGCCAATAGGGCTCTACCAGAAAGAGGCATTTCATTACATTCAATTCTGGGTTTCTGGGAGAGCCATAATTGTTAGTTCGCCAAAATCCACGAGCCTGAATATCTGCCAAAGACATATTAGAGAAGATCACCGAGTGCAGCATATTTGCGAACATCGTGGGCCCGGGAATAGACTGCAGGCTGGCTAGCTTTGAAGACACGGCAGGTAACCTGAGAAACACAAGGGTTGGAACAAGGGACTAAGGAGACCAGATGAACCCCAAAAAAAGTGCTCACTGAAGCTGACGTGGTGGCACGCAGGTCGCAACGAATCGTCGCCACCAGACACAACAAATGATACACTCCCGGCTGAATCAACCATGCATCAATAACCAACAGCCCATCCTCCTGTTTATGCAGTGTAGTAACAATGAGGACCATCATACATATATTTACTTACTGTATATGGCAGTTAAAAAGTAGAAATAGTTATGACTGAATTTGGACAAACCAGAAAAGTTTGTGTTGATATTGCAAAGAACCCCCTCTCCCTCTCTCTCTCTCTCTTCCCCCCCCTCTCTCTCCCCCCCTCTCTCTCTCTCTCTCTCCTCTCTCTCTCTCTCTCCCCCTCTCTCTCTCTCTCTCTCTCTCTCTCTCTCTCTCTCTCTCTCTCTCTCCCTCTCTCTCTCCTCCCCCTCTCTCTCTCTCTCTCTCTCCTCTCTCTCTCTCTCTCTCTCTCCCCTCTCTCTCTCTCTCCCCTCTCTCTCTCTCTCTCTCTCTCTCTCTCTCTCTCTCTCTCTCTCTCTCTCTCTCTCTCTCTCTCTCTCTCTCTCTCTCTCTCTCTCTCTCTCTCCTCTCTCTCTCTCTCTCTCTCTCTCTCTCTCTCTCCCCTCTCTCTCTCTCTCTCTCTCTCTCCCCTCTCTCTCTCTCTCTCTCTCTCTCTCTCTCTCTCTCTCTCTCTCTCTCTCTCTCTCCTCTCTCTCTCTCTCTCTCTCTCTCTCTCTCCTCTCTCTCTCTCTCTCTCTCTCTCTCTCTCTCTCTCTCTCTCTCTCTCTCTCTCCCTCTCTCTCTCCCTCTCTCTCTCTCCCTCTCTCTCTCTCTCCTCTCTCTCTCTCTCTCTCTCCCCCTCCCTCCCTCCCCCCTCTCCCTCTCCCCCTCTCTCTCTCTCTTTTCCAGAGGATGTGGGTATAGAGAGTTTATACTCTATGTTGTTATATTCCACCTCCCCACCCCTCTACCTCCCCCATCCTTTCCAAACTCTTTGGACATCAAAGCTCAAAGAAGCAAGCATGTGGAACATTGGAATGCTCAAATATTATGTAAATGTTACCAAGATGTGCACCATATTATTTCCTTAGAACACTAAAACATTCCATTTTTAAGTGTTTTTATACTGTACACATCCAGTACATACTGGATATGATCACCACTTACAAAATAATAACAATACTCGACCAAATTGACAAAGAGGAATTCCTAAAACCTCAAGAACAAGAGGTCACAGACCTAAGCTAAGGAAACAAAGGTGCTAAATAAATATAATATAGTTTTCACTTGCAAACAGAGCGATAGACAGTTTGAAAAAGGTAAATACTCACCTAGTTGTGCTTGCAGGGGTTGAGCTTCGGCTCTTTGGTCCCACCCTTCTACTATCAACCTACTGGTGTAAGTGAGAAAGTGGTAGAGGCCAAACCATCAGCAGTTTCAAAGTGTTATGCTGGGAAAACGGGACACCACGGGCATATCGCATCCTGCAACTGCACTTTGGTAATTACACTTAGGTAATTACACACTTTAAGTACTGTATGTACATTTTCATGCACAACTACAAACCCTTATGCCATTCTGGTGGGTGTGGTAATAAAATCCAAGGACAGTATAACGCCACATATTACCAGCAGACAATGACAAAATGATAAAAATGCATCATGATATACAGTACTATGCACATCACTAATTATAACCACAATGTTGCTTTTATTATCAGCATTCTGATAACAATACTGTAGTGTGTAATTTGATACATTTATATACTGTAATGAAGTGTGTGGAATATTGCTATATTCGAAAATATGGTGTACATTGTGACAACATTATTATACTTTTAGAACAAAAAACAGTGCTTTTGCTGTTATATATACACTATATATATATACTGTATAACTACATTTTTGTGTACCATAATGAGCCACTAAGCTGGTCTGATGGGCCAACACACACCATATCTTGAGGTTATCTTGAGGTGATTTCGGGGCTTCAGTGTCCCCGCGGCCCGGTCCTCGACCAAGCCTCCACCCCCAGGAAGCAGCCCGTGACAGCTGACTAACACCCAGGTACCTATTTTACTGCTAGGTAACAGGGGCATAGGGTGAAAGAAACTCTGCCCATTGTTTCTCGCCGGCGCCTGGGATCAAACCCAGGATCACAGGATCACAAGACCAGTGTGTGCTCTCCGCTCAGCCGACTGGCTCCCCCATAGCATCAATGCACTAGTCAGCTGACGACGGCACTTGGCTCGACATAATGCCTCCAATATAACAGGCCTATCGCTAACTCTAGGCAAAATGTTGATGTTATTATGAGTATCCTAGTCACAAAATCCTGAATATGTATAATTTTTTGCACACATTTATTTTCTATAGGAGCATGAGCTCGAGCTCGTTTCATGATGCATAGATGTACCACAACAATGGCAGTTAACATTGAGCAGCATTGTGTCCACTGATATCTGAACATTGTACACAGTCTTTATTGCAGTCTGTTTATTACTTTTGGTGACGGAGCGAAGATACTGATGTTATCCCTGACACACTTAAAACAGTGGAGATTACACCACTTCACAAAGAAGGTAGTAAAGCAGATGCAAAAACTTAAAAGCTCTTGCACAACAAAAAAATCTCTGAAAGAGTGCCAAGAAATAAGATAACACACATGGAATCACAGCATCTACATAACCCTGGACAACATGGGTTCAGAACAGGGCACTCTTGCCTCTCACAATTGCTAGACCACTATTACATGACTAGATGCCACAGAAGACAAACAAAATGCTGATGTAATATACACAGATTTTGCAAAGCTTTCTACAAATGTGACCATGGTGTTATTGCACACAAATAGAATTACTGGCAAAGTAGGGAGATGGATCTTTAATTTCCTAACAGAACCCAGAGTGTAATAGTCAACAGAATAAAATCTGAACCATCCACCATGAAAAGCTCAGTCCCCCAAGGTACTGTGCTTACTTCAGTACTCTTCCTCATCCTCATGTCAGATATAGACAAGGATATAAACTATAGTACTGTAGCATCCTGTGCAAATGACACTAGAATTTTTAGAGTAGATAATATAGAGGACACAGCAAACCTCTAATCTGATGTTAATCAAGTCTTTCAGTAGGCCATACAAAATAACATAATGTTTAACGAGGTTAACTTTCAATTACTGTTCTATGGAAAAAACAAAAACATCAAAGCAGAAAACCACATATAAATTAGGCAAACCACACTATTGAAAGAAAGAGCAATGTAAAGGATACAGGAGTAATCATGGCGGAAGAACTTACATTTAAAGAGCAAAACAAAATTACCGTCACAACTGCAAGAAAAATGACAGGTTGGATAACAAGAACCTTCCAAACAAGAGATGCCATGCCAATGATACTTTTTAAGACATTAATCAGCCAACATATTAAGGGAAGTGCTGGTGCACCAGCCGACATGTGATTATATTAGTATACCGTAAGATTCGAAACTCTCATGCATACAAGGGGGTACACATTTGCTCCCTCAGGCCTCGAGCAAACATACCCCATCTTGGAAAAAACATCCCGAGTCCCTCACTCTCCTTCCAAGGGCCTAGTTACATGGCCTAGGTTACTAAGGCCTACAAAACATTCCTAAGGCTATAGAATTAGCAATGTGTAGGGCAGCCATACCAAATTAGCAGCCACTGAAATTTTAACATCAACATGTGAGTGATTACCATTATATATTTCAGGCAAAATGTGTGCTATGTCCAATTATAAGATTTAGGCTCAGATATACAGTAGCTTCGTTTACAAATTTAATCCGTTCCAAGAGACTGTTCGTACACTGAAAATTCGTAAACCAAAATGAATTTTTCCATAAGAAATAATGTAAATTTAATTAATCGGTTCCACACACCCAAAAATATTAACTTAAAAATACATTTTATATATAATACTACTCATAATTTTTACTATACCTTACCTTTATTAAGGACTCTTGTTGGAGTATGGAAGACGGTGAGGAGGGGGAAGGAGGAGAGGTGTTAGTGTTTGGAAGCGGAGTACCCTTCTATTATAACATCAGGCAGTGATGACATTTCTTGAGTACTCACTTTCTTACGTTTTGCAGGCATACCACTAGGACCTAGTTGTGACTCACTGCTTGCTTGTCTTATAGATATAAGACAATCAATCTCTCTATAGACCCTTGCTTTTCCCTACATTTTAACACTTGTCTGTAGCGAGATATCTCATCGTCATTAAAGAGGTTAATGCAATGGCCTGCTGCAGCTTTATCTGGGCTAGTCTTCTCAGCAAAACTTTGCAGTTCTTCCCATACTGCACACATTTTCTTAATTAATGAGGAAAGGACATCCTCTACTGCCTCATCCTTCCCTGAAGAAATTTTCTTAGCTATCTCTTATTGCTGCTCCTTGTGAAGGGCTACGAGTTCTTTGGTAGTCATCAGTTCTTCGCTGTGTTCATCCACCAACTCCTCCAAATCACCACTGTCCAACTTTATGTTTATGAATGATCTCTTGTTTTTTTTTCTTTATCATCGTCATCCTCACAACTATTTTCTTAGGTTGAACTTTACCACTGACTTTCTTGGGACCCATGGCATGATACATAAGAACTTTTATGTTCAGAAACCAAAAAGGCAGAAAAGCAATGAAATTCTTCACAAAGATTTCAAGCGTAGTCGTCACTAGGCTGGATACACTGGTCAACCATACGTGTCTCGCCCCACGTCCAGCAGAACCCACGCGCTTGACCCATACATGTACTGTATCGACAAACACTCGTATTCCAAAACAAACTTCGTATACAGAGTCAACGTTTATGAAGAAATTGACTTCATATACCAAAAAATTCACAATCCGGGACATTCGTAAACCAAGGTTCCACTGTATTTTAGTATGAATAAATACATGGTGTGTATATATTTATACACATATCTGTATACTGGTATATATATATTTTCAGTTACACATAATGAACACCATCTTTGACACATTGATACAACTTGTTAGAATGAAAAATGAAATAAAGTGAGAAACATTAAAAATAAGTTGACAAAGTTATTCCCATGCAGCAACTCTTCTAATTTTGACAAAAAAAAAAAAAAAAAAAAAAAAAAAAAAAAAAAAAAACTTCTGCAGGCCACTACAGCTAAACTACAAGAGGTAGACTTTTTACTTGGATTTTTGTGCGTCCTGAGTGTTAATTAACAATAACAAAAGAAAAAATACTGTTTTTGGAACAATTTATTTTTGGCGCACCATGAGAATGTCATTTTAAAAGATGTGCAGTGCAGGGGTTAATGCTCTCTAGAGTGAAATATTGTTGCAAACTAACAGCCCCATTCAAAGTTAAAGAAATTATGAATCTCCAGTATGTATCCTGGAGATTCTGGGACACCATCCAAACCCAGTTGAAGAACCAGGGAAACCTGAGTAAAAGTAGTCATGCAAGAGGTCAAGACAGGGAATGAAGCTGTTCACACCCAAAAGATCAAGGATGAACCTCAGGTCCAATGTGTCCTTCTTGGGGACTGGGAACATATGGGACACCAAATGAAGGGACAAGGTCAGTCCGACCACACACTCATGTCCAACAAAGTTGCCATGATTTGATGCAGCAGTGAGGAAGAAAGACAACTTGCAAGCCCCAACCCCAACATTTGGTGACAAAAACCCATCGTTCTTTTTTTGGGGGTAGTTCCAGAGGATACCCCTTGGGCAAGGCCACCACTGCTGATACTGCAGATGTCATAGCCTTCACACCTGGAACCATGCCAAGTGAATTCACATCCTTACAGAGCTGATCACAAAAAAGTTCCACTACGGGCCCAAAAATGCATAACCGTCGCCAAGTGCATATGAGCTCTGTGATCCACAGTAAGGGAGAAAACCCTTACTCTGGGAGTCCCGCAAACTCCCATTACGGGAGTTTGCGGGACTAGATGGCTCAACTACCTCCGTTGCTCCTTCCAGAAGGAAGGGGCAACCCCCTGGAATTTGTTGAGATAAGAATTATCAACCCAACAGGCAGAATGGTGGGGCCAGAAAGAATGATCATCGTCATGTAGCAAAGGCGACAAACAGTCTTCAAACTCACAATGGGCAAGAGCAGACTAGATAGACAGACCTTTATGCATAATTGACCTTACCAGAGATCTGCTAGGGAATGCCAGAGCCTGCTAGTAATAAGCCAAACAGGTGCTCCCATGCGCTGGAGATATTTGCAAAAGAAAATGGGACCCACATGCAGCCCCACTACCTGTGCTGCAAAATGCCACCCACAGTGTGCCATATATAAACAAAGCATGCATACCAAAAGTGCAACCACACAACCTATTGAATGCACCCATCCAGGGGCATAAACAGTGAGGTCAGAAGACCCCTGAAAAATCTGAGGTAAGGTACTCCATCCCAGTGGCCTGACCTCAAAACGATTAACCCCTAAACACACCAGAGAATGAACTGTCAGTGCAACAGCAGTGCTCATGGACACTCAGGGAAGCGCTGGGCACATGCAGTTTGGAGCATAAAAAGCAAAGTTCACACAGCAAAACCAGCTAGAAAACATGCACATGAAATAAATACTATAATGGAATGATACACTGAAAAAAAAAAAAAATTGTCCCCTACCCCTCCCCCCAACAGGAAGAATTCTATGACGTCTGGTACACAGCTCAGAAGCTCTGGGACTTGCTTCAAGATGATGCAACAAAGGAGACTACAGCATTGCTCTAGGCTATTCATCAGCAGATGAACTGATCTGATAGCCGAGCTGGACCGAGCTCCGAGCTGCCTGGTGACAGTATTTGGTATTAGCAGGTTCTAGCTATTCCTGTATGTTTTCTTCTGTATATTTTGTATTGTTAGTAGAGTTAATTGGCAGTTTAGTGCCTTTTGTGTCTTGTGAACCGAACACTGTACAGTTTCGCTAACTTTCTTAGTGCTTTCTCGGAGAAATAGTGGAATGTCATTTGCTCCTTGTGTTTCATGTGAGGGTTGATTATCAAAGTTATATTAGGCATACTTTTGCAGAGGAATACATTGAGGCTATATTCCTGTACAGTGTGTACAGTGTACTTATATAAGTTTTAATATCTTTTTCCAGAAAAATAGCAGTATACATGAACACTCTGTATACAGTGGAACCTCGAGTGATGAGCTACTCCAGTTTTGAGCATTTCGAGTAATGAGCGAGCCACTCGCAGAAAATTTGTCTCGATTGACGAGCTTTTGTTTGATTAATGAGTAAACCACATGGTGCTCCCTAGCGTTTATATTGGTTCTTGGACGTCTCCGACGACAGTGTTGTTGTTGTTTCGCAAGATGAGAGTTTATCACGACGAGCTCGGTGCCGGAACGGATTAAATTTGTTAATCGAGGCACCAATGTACTTTTGCAGTACAATGAACATTGTGCCTCACTCTGTAAACATCATCACCAGCATTGAGTTCAATGATACAGTACCTGAACCTTGTACATATTCTTTATCACTTTCACAATTTTCTATGACACATCATTAAATAATTGAAGTTATGGTATTTATTTCATTATTATTATTAAGTGATGCTGTGAGTAGCTGCAGTAGCAACCATGAGTAACTGCAAGCACTACTCATGGTGCTCTACTTGTATGGAGTGCCCAGTATGCCCAGTATGGCACTCTGCTAGTATGGGTGCCCAGAATTATACCCTGGAGGGGTACCCAGAATTTTCCCACGAGATGATGTCCGTTTCATGCAGGCCTGAGGAAGCAGATGTTAGCCCCGAGTACCTGTGGGAGTTTTAAATCTTACGTGGTACGTTAATACATCCCTGATTGTGCCACACAGCTGAAGGGTTAAAGACCAGGGTGAATCTAAATACTGGGCCAGCACAGCTGCTCATATGAGTAATGAGCCAAGTAAAATGCTACAACCACTTTCCCAAAGGATAAAGATGATTATCTTGAGAAAGGCCACCGAAGCTGGCACTGAGTGCCTCAAGGCACCTGGGGTCGAACCAGGCAAATCGGACATCCTCATGGAACTGATCAGAGAAATCCACCGTGAGAACCAAAAATAAAATGCATGACCATGTGAAAGAACCCTGTGGTCATCCACACTAAGGGCTCCAGAGAACACAGGTTGCACATGGAGCTTCCACTTGCCAACATTCTTGAGGAGAACTGGAACAAACAGGCAGTCCTCTAGTAGAGAGTAAGGCACACTGCCCAAGAACACTTGAAAGATGGAACTCAGTTCCCACAATTCAAGCACTTAGATTTAGCAAAACCCCAAGAAAAAGAGGGGTTTGCCAGCCAGTTGGGATGAATTCAGGACCTCACACTTCTGATAATAAGCCAAAGCAGACCAATAATCAAATGAGGCCAGGTCCACCAGGAAAACCAAGTACAAATTCTGCGGGAGGCATTGATACAGGTCCACATGAGCCATAGATGGTGAAACACAGGATGAGGGAAAGCTCTGGGGATAAGAAACCTAGGAATCATATACATAGAAGGGCAATACGAAAAAAATTTCCCTGAACAAAAGGCCCTTTACAGATGGAACCAAAGCCTAAGCAGGGTTGAAAGAAACCCAGGAACCCTCTCTGGGCCCTCCACTCAGCCTCAGAAGTCAGCCATGATGGCCCTGAGGCAGAGCTGTAAACATCGCACAGCCCCTGGAACTGGAAGATATCATCCCAAGGAGTGAGGCTGAAGCTGGGTAAAAGTTGTGGAGGTGAAGGCTATGCATCCCCGGCAGGAAGAGACGATTCAACTGCTTCTGCTGTTGAAGGGGATCCATCCTCTCTACCTACACCCCGAACCAAACCCTGCCCTGACTATGAAGCCTTCAGATGCTTCCAGGCCGAAACCAGGGAAGGAAGACCAGAAACAGAGTGAACCACCACAGAATGGGAAGGAAGAGGTGGTCAACCTTAGCCCAGCTGGAATTCACCATCAACTCCAATTCTAGGTCTTTAAACACTAAAAGGGTCAACTCTAAGACACTCAAACGAACACCATGCAAGCCTAAGATAGGCAAACCTCACCCATAAAGTGGCAGTAAGTTTTCTAATGCGGTGGTGGTACTGTATAGTGAGAACAAAACCCCAACTACAACAAACATAGCAGGACTCAAGGAGTCATAGGTGTCATTGACCCAACAGGCAGAATGACGGAGGCACAGAGAAAGATTGTCGGCCTGCAGCATAACTGACAAGCACCCTTAAAGTTTGCATGTAGCAAGTGCGGGCTCAATGGGTTGATCCATCACAAGCAACACATTAGACCTACAGGGTGATTGCCAGGGTTTTGAAGCTGAACACCCAAGCAGAACACCCAGGCACCAGAGAAGCTCACCAAAAGAACAGACACTAAATGCAGACTGTAACTACTCGGCTATGAATGGGGTACTAGGATGTATGCACCCTAGTGCACCCTACTCACAGCCAATCAGATCGCCCCCAGCCCATCCTAGGCAGAGGAAAAAGATCTCATGCACTACACTAGGTGAAGCACCCCACCAGTGGTAAGATCTTGAAAGGGCAAACTTCTGAACACACAGACAAATAATTCTGTCAGTGCAGTGGGGATAGCACTAATGAGTACCCAGGGAAGGGAACGTTGAGCTCAAGCATCTCGAAGCACAGCAGAAGCCGGGAAGTAAAGCATGCACGTGAAGCAAATAAGAACTTATAATAAGAATAAGCTAGGAATAAGCTAGGAACAAAACACAAGTCAATGGCCAAACAGGACTAAGTCCAAGGACAGCTGACACTTAGTCTGAAAGTAGCAGGATCTGCTGTGACATCTTGATGACCCTGAAAACACAACTAGAGTGCAGTACTTGGTGTTTATGACACCACATCAGTGGAAGGACTGGCCTTGGAGTCAGCTGTGGGTCAAAGTGCCAGGCTGCCTGGTGGTGGCTATCGGTACTAATGGGTTGATGCTAGTTTGCGTCATCTGCATGATTTGCAGTCATTTGGCCATTTCCGAGCTTCATTCTGTATGAACCTTACAGCTGTTGTAAAGCATCACTGACTTTTTTAACTCTTTCCCAATGCGGGTGATAACACTATGTCCCCAGCTCTCGGTGCCTCTGTGAAGGGAACCAGGTTCTGGCTCTAGTCCCCAGTAGACCAGAAGGACTCCTGCGACTGATTTGACTTATTAGTGAGAAGCTATCTCAGAGAAATAGCTTCAGGGCGCTATTTCCCTGAAATAGCCCGTTCAGGGAGCTATGGTTCAGGGAGCCACTGAGGATTCTCCCAGAAAGGAACAATATAAAATGAGAGCATTTTTAAATCCCTGTGCTTCCCTTTGATCACATGAATTCACTTTCCTGATGAAAATAAATGCACTGGGTAGCTCATTTGATTTTCATATAGGCATTCACACATAGCTGTATCTCTTCCTGCAGAGCATACTATATTTTTTAGGTTGTAACCGAGTCCATAATTGTAACATGCTACAAACACTAATTTAGAAAATAATGTGTTCCCTCCTATAACAAGAGAATAAACTTTTTTTGCACTGCTATTATGAAGTTGTATCCTCTTTAATTGATGACAAGCAATGACAAGCACATGAAACTGAAAATATTCACAATAAAATTATTATATAAATCTCACTATTGAAGGTGCACCCAATAAAAAATATTATTCTACAGATTTAAAAATATCATATGGTGAAAGCAGAATGCAACTGCTTAACATTCATACAGAAAACTTTGGTATGTGTTTTGAGCACTGTTTCTGCATCTCCAACACTAGAATGAGTGATGTATGTGCACTTGCCAAAATAATGAGGAAAGATATGTTATGCCTCATCTTGCTCTCATGAAAGAATACACATAGGTGTACAAATACATCAAATTTCAATCAGAAAAATAAATTTTACACCTTAAGAGTGTTCACATCGTCACCTTCTATGTCAGAGTTCATAGTCACATTTGCCATCACTATTAAACTTCATTAACTATTGTCTTATTTTCTTTGGAACTTTTCTGTGAATTAAAATCCATGTTTAAATTTCTATAAACATACTTTACTTGCTTAGGACACCTCAATCCTCACAAGAGAAAGATTACTTCAAGAAGATACATAAAAGCCACATATAACTCTGAAATTACTTAACATTTACTTTTACTTCTAAGCCAAATGCTTATCAGTCATCCTCCTATACTGTAAACAAAATGCCAATATATTATACCTTCCATTATCTTAATGAAATCACAAAGAAGTCTGACAATATATGATGATGAAATATTAAGAATTTTATGAAGCACCAGAAGTATTCATGCAAAAACTGAAGTGTACAGAGCTAAAAAGACCCTCCCAATCATCTCCAAGCACTTCTCCTACCCCTTACCCCGGTCCATGGTGAACTCTTGCCGGATAACAACATCAATATGGTGTGCATGTGTAGTGTCAAGACTGCTTGCAGGAAGCAATCGATTTGACACTAATGCAAGAGATTGGTTTACGTCTCCTCCTCTTGTTGTGGGCACCACGAGTCTCCTGGAGATCTGCAGGAGACATCTCGGACCGATTTTCTGCCTGATTCCTCGATTCTGTTGAAGACAATATCCTTAAGCAAGCATTTAAATACAACAAATATTTTTTTCTGAACAAGGTCCAAGGTGGTTCCCTGTTGTTAGTTGCTTGGATAGCTCCTCACCCATCAAATCGCACCAAACCCTTGCGAGTCATTAGGAGCCTACAGAAGATCAGAGGCCAAAACCTGGTCCTTTCAAGGAGGTGCTAAGAGCAGAGGATACAAGATCACTTTAACCAAAGAAATAGTCACCAGAAAGGTAAACGAAACAAAACGTGATCGGGAAACAAGGCCACGAAGGAGGACAAACTCCAGTTCTATGCCAACCTCAGAATGACATAACGTTGGAAGTTATGTCGTTCAGAATGACACTCGGCTGGAAATATGCAACCCGTTCTCGCACTTTCTTATAGTCAATATTGGCTTATTAAATAAGTGCATATGTGACATACTAATTTATTGTGAATATTTTAGTTTACCTTGAAAAGCTTCATAGAAAATACCGACCTTACCTAACCTTCTTAGTATGTTAAGATAAGCATCTTATTGCTTCTTAATTACAATTATTACTTAACCTATTATAGGTATAGGTTAAGTAATAATTGTAATTACAAAGCAATAAGATGCTTATCTTAACATACTAAGAAGGTTAGGTAAGGTCGGTGTTTTCTATGAAGCTTTTCAAGGTAAACTAAAATATTCACAATAAATTAGTATGTCACATATGCAGGTATTTAATAAGTGAATATTGACTATAAGAAAGTGCGAGAACGGGTTGAAATATGACTGAAGCGAGATAACCCATCCACATGAATGTACGACTTGGCCTCACGGAACTGATGCACACTGGATTAACAAAGAAAGCATCACTCAGGGCACCCTGAGTGACACAAATAACTACCGACTGTTGTGAATAGAGAAATTAAAGGGATGCACCCAAAATAATTTAATAAATTTGATTTAATAAAAACAGCACTAAAGAAATAAATCTAGACAGAGAAGGGTACACAGAAACAAGAAAGAGAAAATATAGGAACATAAACCAGAGACCAAAAAGACTCCAGAGGTGCATTATTAGGCCAGCGGTAAAATAAAAAAATAAACAAGAAAACTTCCAAAACGAGACCCAGCCAGATCCAAACCCACAACTGAACCAACTGCGACTTCTATCAGTTGACCAAGAACCCGAACCTGGCCACCTGGGAAAAACCAGAACCCTGGCTTGCTGACTGAGCCATTGTGATAGACCAAATTTAACCAATTCTTGAACCTTATAAGAACGAGAAAGAGATAACACATGCCCCAAAGGTCCAGGGCCCTACCAGGTTTTGGCTTCTGGTAGATTTTCGTTGACAAACAAGTTCCTGATGTGACACGATAGGCACGGAGCTATTCAGTGAAGCTAGCAACAAGGAGCCACCAAATGGCCCCCTCAAGAAATGGAACCTAGCTTCAAGGCCAACCTCCAAGGACCGGGCATCCTGTCTATACACACAAAATGCCCGATGACCTTAAAAACAGCAGGTGTTTTTAAATGAGGAAATGCAGAGAAAGGGAAGCAACCCTCCCAAAAAATGAAGAATGTTTGAGTACAAAAAACTTTGGCAATGATAGGGAAGGTGTGGCAGGCTAGGATTGTTAAATTCAATTAAATTAAACAAATTAAATTAAAGCTAGGATTGTACAATTAAAACCAAGTAACAAAAACAATAAATACAAGACAATAGTTGCAGTTCATGTTCATCAATACAGACCATTCAGTTCATGCTCAGTGATTAGCTCATCTTCTGATTCAGAATCATAATAATGGTAACGCAGGTACGGGACGATGGTTATGCTGTGACGATCATCATCTCCTCCCACTGAAACTTCTTCATCTGTGTGTGGATGCTTCTTACAACACCAGCTGTTGAAGTAAACAATATTCATGGCAATTAACAATATTAAGGAAAGAATTGATCATCTTAATTATCAAACTTTGATAATTAATGATTATTATTATATTTATAATGTAATTATCATTGATTATAAAATTTAACGATGATTATCATAAAGTATAAAATTTAGTGATAATTAAATGCTAATAATTCATGGAGTCAGTATCTTTGAGCACAGGCACTGAATCCATGAATCACATTTGACTCCCCTCTAGCTAGGAAGGAGAGCACTCTACAGCAATAGACACCCTGTATACCATAGAACTTATATGATTTTCATACATGTACTGCAATTTATGTCACATTCTTAAATCAACCTTGTTTTAACAAAGGCTGAAGGAGAGGAAAGTGGAGGTCCCAGCCTACGACTATTTACCCACCAAGTGGACCTCCCCCATCTTGTATGGAATGATGAGGCACAAAAACAACAGACTTGAACATTAAATTTAAGTGTATTTGCAACTTGAGTATAATAAACAGACTTCACATTCTTACATCTTCATTATGGACTGCATACACATCATTACCTACGTAACCGTTACTTTTCACTTCCTCTCCCACAAATAGTTTCCACTGCACTCAACCTGCAATCACTTTCATATCATCATCTCGTGTAGTACTTATTTCTCAATGATAACTCCAACTTTTTAAGCTCAAATATGTTGATTTCAAACAAAGAAAACAACATTGGGCAGTTCTGAGCCAGTTAAAAAATAAATAAATTAAACTTATTTTTCCATTATACAGTATATCATAAAGCACTGTACTGTATTTCTGATGTATAGAAAAATAAAAAAAATCCAATATTGTACTGTAATTTTAGTTTGACCAGAGAGGTGAAGAAATGTTAAAAATTTCAAATTCTGAGAATGAATTTTCAAGTACACTATTTGTAATAAATTGATCATTATTATAAATATCTTCATGGCCTATAATAGTCCTTGAAATTTAGCATAGCATCAATAGTTCATACCATACATTCAGTAAATGGATGCTGCTGCTGCACCTGACATAGTGCCAGTTATTCTAATAATATCAAGGAATGCAACTAAGGCTTTCAGCATTTTTTCCAATATGGCAAATGATTGCCAGAGCTAGCAAGTGCTGAATGACATCCATATAGAATTTTTAGGAACTTTGAATATTACAAGGCACATTAAATCTCCCATAGGCAACATGAGTACCATCGATCTATTCCTTGAGGCTGACACAAGCAGTTAAACTCTTCCACCGCATGACAAAGCTGGGGTTGATCTCGATAATTATCCATAACCTGCACAGTACAGCTGGGAAATTTTTAAAATCTACACAAGATTTAAAAGTCCTGCATGTACATACGACTCGCATCTGCTTCCTCTGATCTCCATAAGCTGATGCCATCATGGAAAAAAAAATCATGGGCACCCTTCCTGGGTGTGAAATATACAGTACTGAGAGGGTGACCATGAGTAGCGCATGTTGACACATGCGCTACTCGTGCAGTGCCATGCAATTAATCATAATTGCCCCTACCCGGGAAAGGCACCCAAAAAGATCGGCGAACCAAAACAGATTACTGGATGGTTAAAAACATGACCGCAGCCCAAAAATTGCCATAAGAACTCTTTCAACAATGAAAACAAACACCAAAATTTCAAGTATCTAGCGCATGCTAATTTGCTCCACCTTCCCACCTCATTTTGGGGAAAGGAGGGAGGCATACCGCAACAGGTAACAGGTACTCTGAGAGAGAACTCTATCAACATCAGAGACCCGAGACTGTTCAACACACTTCCACTACACATAAGGGGCATAACTGGCCGACCCCTCACAGTGTTCAAGAGAGAACTGGATAAGCACCTCCAAAGGATACCTGATCAACCAGGCTGTGACTCATACGTCAGGCTGCGAGCAGCCGCGTCTAACAGCCTGGTTGATCAGTCCAGCAACCAGGAGGCCTGGTCGACAACCGGGCCGTGGGGACACTAAGCCCCAGAAGCACCTCAAGGTAACCTCAAGGTAAGGTACCGGGTCAGCCGCCCCACCCCACCATCAGTTCTATGATGATGAAACACCGATGTCGAGAAGCCTCTGGGGCTCGCCCAAAAAACCAGCGTTGAATGTAATGAAACCCCCTTTTCTGAGCGAGACCTGGAGATTTCCCAGAGCTTATCCAGGCTGATATGCTAATGTCAGACTTTGGCATCAGTCATGTGTATGGAGTTCTGTGGGCCTACCAGGGAGCACGAGCCAGAACCTGGCCCCCCTCAGAGAGGCATGGGGAACAATGACCTATAGAAATCCCTGTGTGGTTGGAAGAATTCTATGTCTGCCATCGACCGGGTCAGGCACCCAGAAAGGTAAGCGTCCCAAAACAAACCCCTACTCTGTTGAAAATCGCTACCAAAAGCCGAACAAGTGGATAGAATTCCCCAAAAAGAAACAAGCAAACGAGCATGATGTCACACGTTGCCACGCTCCCCCCCCTCCCCGGGAGGGGGAAGGGGGAGCCCCAGACCCCCGCCCTTCAGTTCTGAGGCTGGATGTCAAAACACACGAAAAAAACGCCGACCGAGGGGAGGGAGGGAGGGAGGGATACCAGGGAGCCTCCGGGTCTCACCCAGAAAATGGCATTTCATTATATTCAACGCTGGTTTTCTTGGGGGAGCCCCTTCGGCTTGCCAGAGCTAACTACCCAGAGAGGAAAAGTAAAGGAACTTACCCAGGAGGCGGTCGCTGCTCACTCCTCAACTCGAAGTTGAGACCACTGGCTGCAACCACCAACCCAAAGTGACACAGGCACGACTAGGCCCAGGAACGTTCATGAGATATCGAGCAGCCAGGACCCTGTTTGACCGCCAAAATCCCCGTGCCTGAATGTCAGCCCAGGATATGTTGCCAAAAACGGCAGCAAAAGCCACGAACTTGGAAACGTCATGGGCACGGGGATAGACCGCAGGCTGGCGGTCTATCCCCGCCAGCCTGCGTAAAGAGTAGTTTAGAGTAAAGAGTATCCCAGGCTAGCCAGCCTGGGATAGACTGCAGGCTGGCTAGCCTTAACAACCCTGCGGACGACCTGGGAGACCCGCACCCGCGAACAGGGAAGAAGGGAAACCGGATCAACCCAAAGCACGTCCCCGGACAAAGAAGCCGAGGCGCACAATTAACGGTGGAGGGCTGCAACCGGACACAAAATATGATGCACCCGCGGCCCGACAACCAAGCATCACCAACCGAAGGACCCCTCTGGAAAGCAGCAATCACATTCCTTGCCAGATAAGAAGGAGACGGCTGCAGACAAACAAACCTAACACCACGACCGAAGGAGCAGAAAACCCCTGCACCGGAGGAGAGCATGAAGCTCTCCGACCCGACCCCTAGAGGCCACAACAAACTGTGGAGAAGAAAAGAAAAGAGAGCACTCTGTCCAATGACCAGGACGGCTCAGGCGGCGCATGAACAGGCCGGAGGTGAAACAACGCACGAGACAGCTTGCAAAACAGCACAGACATAACATCAATACCGAAATCAAGCTGAAGCAGCTCCGCCAGCGCCGTACGATACGAGGCGACAGGATGGGGCAAGATGACGGCCCCGAACCGCCACAAGAGAAGGACAAGACCACGCCAACAACGCAGCTACTTAGAAGGGACAGAAAGAAAAGGAAGGACCGCCAAAAAAACCACACTGCCGCCAAGAAGAAACACGCAGGTGGGACACCATCAACGAAGCCACCCGACCACCAACAGAAGGTGAGAGACTCGAGGCAGAACCGAACCAGCCCCACCACGGGCCAATCGAGCCAAGGAAGAGGCGAACCTGAGGGATGATCTCGGGTATGACCACTGAGCCAGCAGAGCCGGAAACCCAAGCTGGCAGAGGAGATGGAACGTCGGAAAGAAGCATTGCAGTGTCAGAGTAGTAGACAAACGGAACGCATGAGGAAGCGATGTGATGGAGGATGACACCACACACAGCTTCAAGCATAGATATGATAGAGCCCAGCAGGCTCAGGAACCCACACTTTAGCGATTGACAGGTGAGAAGTGGGACCAAAAACCAAGAGCTCAACTTCTGCAAACACAACTAGGGAAGTACAACTAGGTAAGTACAGAGAATCCAAAGTATATGGAAGGGCTAAGCCAGGCACTGCAAGACGGGCAAGGAATGAGTGACCCAGATAAGACCACGAAAAACAGGGCCGTGACCCCCTTGCAACAATTAACCCAGACGAACAAGGAAGGTCGGTCGGCCGAGCGGACAGCACGCTGGACTTGTGATCCTGTGGTCCCGGGTTCGATCCCGGGTGCCGGCGAGAAACAATGGGCATCTTTCCATGCCCATTGGGCAAACTTTCAATGGCAAACTTTCACACTAGCATCTCTAGTGTGAAAGGTTCTTGTTATCCAACCTGTCATTTTTCTTGCAGTTGTGACGGCTACTTTATAGTGTTTTTTTAAGGTAAGGTCTTCGACATGAGTACACTCAAATCCTTTACATTGCCTTTTCGTTCTATGTTACGATTTTACTGGTCCAACTGGTCCAGTTGGGTGGTCCAACACTAGACACTGGAGAATATTCAGACATGGAGCACACTCCTGGAGACCCAGGGAACACACCTAGACACGGAGCACACTCCTAATGATCGGGAAAATAAACCTGGACAAGGGTACACTCTTGGAGACACTGGAGAACATACCCAGATACAGGGCACAATTCATGGAGACCCTGAAAACACACCAACATGGGGCATACTCCTGGAGACCAAGGGAACACACCTTGATACGGGCACACTGCTGGAGGTTCAGAGACACAGGGCTTACTCCTGAAGACCTGGAAAAAACACCTTGACTTGAGGCACACACCAGGAGATCTAGGGAACACACCTGGTAAGGGGCACACTTCTGGAGACCCAGAGAGAACACACCTGACTTGGGGCACGCTCCTGGAGACCTGGCAACACACCCAGACTCGCAGCACACATCCAGACATATGGCACACTCCCAGACATTGACTTTGAATATGTTCAAACCAGCAATGAATTCATAGGACCAGTTTATTCCAGTAGATTTACACTATACTGTATGTAATTTTCTCAAAACATTGTAATTTTATAAAGTACAGTGTATGTAATTTTCTCAAATCATTGTAATTTTATAAAGTACAGTAGATGCCTTTGGTTAAGTACAGGTAGCCTGCCATGGCCTATGCCCACATATTTTGTTATATTTTACAACAAAAGAAAAAGTTTTATTTTATTTTAATAACTGAGTGTGATCATTTTTACTACATTTCACTCAAAATATGAGCTCACATTCTTAGGAACATGTGATACATACAATGCACACACATTAATATAAAACATTTTCTTTATATATATTGTGAGTAAATGCATGAAAAATTTAAAACAATCCTAGTTAAAACTGTCTAACAACAATAAAAGCTATACTACTCAATTCCTTCAAATAAAATAGCAGTAACAATATGAAACTAACTCATGAATTTTGACTTGTGCCAGTGACATGCGTTGATAAGGATCCTTCACCAGCATCCCCTCTAGCAGAGATTTGAGCACAGGGTCCAGTTCTTCCGGTAAAACTAAAGGCTTCTCGCATATGTTTTCAAAGAGACGAAACATGTTTTCTCCTTCAAATGGATACTTTCCACTGGTCAGGTTAAAGCTGAAAAAGAAGATAATAATTAGCAAAACAAAAAGTTCCTCATTACTTGGCAATTTAAATTCTAATAAAGAAATAAAGCATACAAATATAAACAATGTAAGACAATGACCAACAAATCATACTGAAAAGAGTTAATGGCTTTCTCCAAACTTGGTCATGATTCTTTTCTGTACATGCACCCAGCACTTACAGAATGTCGGGAATATCTAACTTAAGCCAAATACAATATAGATTTTGAATGTATTTCAGTCTGGTTGCTGAAATTTTCAATCTCATAACTTTTTAAAACTTGCTGCTTTGTATTCCTGGCAGTTGACCATCCACCACAAGTGAGGCATCAATAGCATGTTAAAGGAATGTCATGCATGAATGTTTTCATTCTTTATAATTTATAAAACTGTTTATTGCTACGATATACATGTTTATATACAATATAATAATAAATTATTTTCCAATTATATACACTAGTAAAACAGACAATCGTAATAATTTAAGATTATTTGTATATACCCCCACAATGAAATGTTAAAATAGTAGAAATCTTCAAGTAAACTTTTGTGAAAATATTTGTAACCAGCATTTATGACATCCAGGTGCATGACCTTCATGAGATTCATGACCAAGTTTAACTTTACAGACCAGTAGACATCTAAGAAGATTAATACTACATGTAATATGCCAGTCAATTGTTCTGCCACTTTCATAGGAATAGAAGTAGTAGTAGTAGGCATCCATCAGTCTCAGGAGACTATGGACTTGCGCACTGGCGTCGGCCTGGTCTGGAGTGGCCTCACAAGGGCGCAAGTGAGGCGCAAATTATTCCTATATAATATAGGAATATTATTCCTGAATACCTAGAAGGCTTATGACTGCAGCCACTCAAAACAGAAATACAAGCACTGTTGCTACAAGGGCTGAAGCATTCCTGTTGGAAAATACAAGGACAAATATTACCAATTCCCAGTGATACCACACCCAACACAATCAGAATGATCATGCACTAAAAAAAAAGAAACTTTTCACAAGCTAAAAGATTATTTTTGTATCTACCTTTAGTCATTCTGCAGCTCTTGCAGGGTTAAGGCCCTGAAGATAACCTCAAGATAGTGATTTACATTCAGAGTATGTCAAACAGCCTCACAGATGGTCTAGCTTCCATCTGAGCATGTTCGAGTGCATGGTGGACGAGGCCTACTTTTCCTGGCTTTGCAAAACATTGGCTGTCTGAACCAAAATCAGTTCTCTGTAGAATGGAACCAGCAGCTTTCAACCTGCAAGATTTTTGTAGTGGATGGTTTTCATGTGGACTGGGATCAATTCTCTTATCATTACCTATTCCCTCTGATCTAGCTTCTCCTTCCCATGTTGGTAAGTTGGTAAGATTTACAACCCACATTTCCCCATTGGCTCTAATGTGGCCGGTTCAGCACTGGTTTACAGCCTTTCTGGCCAACTGTCCCAATTCTCATCCCTTCTCAAGGTGGGTTGCCTCACACCATCCACCACAGAATGAGGTGGCTAGTTGGGCCTTCCTCTTCTTCCTCTCTCCTTGATATCAGTCATCTTTGCTGATTTCTATTTTGATGTCTTTTCTTTCCTGACTCTTATTTAATCCCGGGATAATACCTAATACTGTTACCTAATGTCATTCAGCCTTGGTAAAGCCTCTCTTGCTAGCTTTTGGGGTTGATGTTACTTCACCCTTCCTTATTTCTCCATTTGTTTGGTTCCTTCTTTAATCACTAGTCGGCTCACACCAATCTACAGTCACTGGACCTAGTTCTGTCATTTTTGTCTTCTCTTTGCTTTCAAGTTTCTTCCTTGACTGAGATTCCTTATTTTTAAAGCAGCTTTTCTCCTGGCTCTTGTTTCCTGCTGCCAGGTTGGGGAGTTTTGTGCTCTTCTGCAGAAACATGGCTTTTGTTCCACAGAGCCTGGTTTCATTTTCTTGCCTGCAGCCTTCTTCATTTTTACCTATTAAAACGTTTGCCTTCCAGAGAAGTTCTTTCGTCATCAATGCCTGGTTTGACCCACCAGAGGTTCATCATGCTCTGTCCCAAGACTGCAGTGTGGTGTTACTTGAGCGCATGATGTGCTGAAGTTTGTTGCTTTATCGGCATTCTTTGTCGTACTACATTCTATAGTAAGAGCTTGGGGCTTCTGGTGGTCCAACCAGGTATTAGCCTATCACAACTCTGGGAATATTCCTTAGCCATTTTCTTGCTCATGTAGCACTTGGGAGTTTTGCAGGGAGCCGATGCTTTCCTGCCGTCTTCTCCGGCAGGAGAGTCCAGTTTGTTTTTCTATTTACTCATTCTTTTGTTTCTATTTCAGAAAAGCCAGATGTCTCTACTAAGGCACTGTTGTAGGGTGCTATTTAAAGGACTCTCCCCAAAATAAAGCACTGAATATACAAGACATGCCCTTTCCTGGTGGGTCTCTCAATACCTCCCCATCCCCACCCCCATTCCTTTATTTCCTTATTATGTGGGAAGGGTTTCTGTTTGGGCAGTTTTTGAATGAGATGGTCACCTGGTGCGGACCTCGAGTGACTTAGGCTGCCAGTCAGAGTGGTGGTCGGGTGCATCACAGCTGAGGCACTTGCCCAACAGCTGTGGGCAACTGTTTGCATTGTTTTCCTCTAACTCATTAATTTTCATCACAGGTGTTTGGTTTGATGTGCTTAGTCTTTCTGGTGGTTGCTTCTTGGTTTTGGGGTGATCTTAGAACCCCAAGCTCTTATTGCCTCATATAGATAGCCATATTCTTGTCCTAATTCTTGGTAGGCTCAAGTTAGTCTCAGATGCCTTTATATCATATAGAATACAAATTTAAGACTTATGTCTCCAAAGAACTGCGTATCCTATTTAGAAAAGAAAATCTGCAGATAATTTCAAAGGGAATTTATTATGTTGTTAAAGTTTAGATCAAGTAGTTTTGAATTTTAATATAATTCTGATGTGGGGTTATATGTGATGATTCAATGTTAGGCGAATTAGAATTTGGGTTCCAAGTCGTTTTGCATGAAATTTCCAAATCTACACCTTGTGACTTACAACTGGAACAATGTCAAACTTACAACACAACAATGTCAAAGAACAAAAAACAATGTCAAACATCTCCTCTAGATGTTTGTAAACCTATAGGCAGAGAAAGTGTCATTCTGAGATGCCCATATACCCAGGTATATAAAAAACCCAAGGGACATTCCAAAAAACATGATTATAAAGGGCATAGAATGCTATGCTGCCATTGTCTGCCACTTGGACGGGCAACTTACAAAGATGCTCCCACATGCCTCCACCTCCATTTACTAGACTACCCCATGACTGAAGCTGATTTGAGGCCAGAACCAATGGAAGAGGCAGAGAAGCCAAGAAAACATACGACAAACTTGGCTAAAGTGTCCATAATGAACTGCTCCACTTCCTCTTCATAGAACAGTAGGGACTCAACCATCCCACTGCCTGGGTCCACAAGAGGCTGTCAAGGATGGGACTGGGAAGTGTGACTCTGTAATGCAGGAAACAACCACAAACAAGGCTCAACTAAAACAGAGGTCCAGCGTTAACAAATATCACACACCTAATGTGAAATGACCATTCTTCCCAAGAGCACCAATTTGCACTGTGGAAAAACCCACACAGCAGTATCAAGCCTGTTTAACCACCAATGGATAAACAATTAAACCAAGTAGTGGGAACACAAGACACAGATATCAATATCGAACCTTAATTGTCACTCGGAGAGGGAATAAAAGGCATGTATGTGACAGAGTGCACCCTCTGCCCAAGTTAGAAAACAGTACAGTACTCCCATCAACTTGCCCTACAGAAGGGCAAAAAGCACATGTACTGCTTGGATGAGGGAGGCCTCAAGAAGAGGCAGGCCACAGGGAAGATAACCCTAACCCCACAGAAAAAATATCCCAGAAGGAGCAGGGTGTCTCAAGTCAGCCAACGAGGAAAGACAACCTTGGCTACAATAGCTGGAGCAAACTGTCAACACAGAGCACATGTAAGGTGGAAGGCACAGATGACACATTCATAGCAAAATATTTAACAAAACCAAGAATTGGCCCCAACACAACTGTTATCCCAGAGAAAGCAAAATCCACATATCTTAAGTCAAAATGTGACAGAGGGCCCAGTGGAATCGAGTGTTGCAAGTCATACACTAAGCTTTTCAATGAGCTAGCTGGCTGGCTGGGACCTAGAATCAGCATCTAGGCTGCCGTCTGGTGGCAGGAGAGAGTTTCTTAGCAGTGATCTCTGGTCGGTCCATTATTCAGTTTTATGGTGATCCCTAATCCTCTACCTCACTGAGCAAGCCAGATTCTGGTCTTGCCCCCCAGTAGGTCTTCCTAGATCAGAATAGTTGCTCTCAGGTTGTAGCATTGGGAAGCTACTGAGGAGGCCCTCACAGATGCCAACATTAATTAGCATAGATATAAATTAATATTATACAATGATGACTTACAGCGTACACCCAGCACTCCAAACATCCACCTTAAATCCAGGAAATACTCTTGCTCCTCCAGCCACCTCTGGAGGCTGGAAAAGGGGTGAACCTTGACTGGTAGTTATCTCGTCACATCCTGTCATTACATCTAGTTGCTGGGGAAGAGAAAATTTAATGTTTTCTTAATATTAAAAAGTTCTCAAATTATTTGTCTAATTTTACCTCAATCACACCTACTTATACACTAGAGGAAGCGAGACTTGGATGTCCACTACATATTAATTTCAAGGAAACATATATTCTGAAATTTAAAATGTCATGAAGAGTATTTTGGGTTTTAATTAAACTACAGTATTTCCAAACATATATAACTATTACACCGTGGGTCTTCACGCTAACAAACTGCACTCTTTAACAAATTTTAGTATGGTATGAACAGTTTGTGTTCAGAGGAAAAGACAAATGTTAATTTCAGTAAAGATTATTCATCTAAGCTGATGCTGAGCCTGCCTGTTAACAAGTACAGGTAGCCATGTTAGCAGCCAATCTAATCTAATTGTAAACCTATTGTACCTGGCATAAAATCTTTTAAACAAACTTAAGTATAATATATTAGTTTACAAATTACATTAAGTAATCATATTTAACTCAATATATCATAACAGCTAAAAATTTATTATTTTTGCAATGTCATGAAGAGTATTTTGGGTTTTAATTAAACTACAGTATTTCCAAACATATATAACTATTACACCGTGGGTCTTCACGCTAACAAACTGCACTCTTTAACAAATTTTAGTATGGTATGAACAGTTTGTGTTCAGAGGAAAAGACAAATGTTAATTTCAGTAAAGATTATTCATCTAAGCTGATGCTGAGCCTGCCTGTTAACAAGTACAGGTAGCCATGTTAGCAGCCAATCTAATCTAATTGTAAACCTATTGTACCTGGCATAAAATCTTTTAAACAAACTTAAGTATAATATATTAGTTTACAAATTACATTAAGTAATCATATTTAACTCAATATATCATAACAGCTAAAAATGTATTATTTTTGCACCGCAAAGCATTTTTATCAGACAATAATACTGCGACTCGATACCTTTACACAAAAATAACCATAGCAAATGTGGAAATATTCCCAAACCGCAGTAAATATATATTTATATTTGTAGGCGATGAGTCACAATAACGTGGCTGAAGTATGTTGACCAGACCACACACTAGAAGTTGAAGGGACGACGACGTTTCGGTTTTCCATTGAGGAGTCTCTACCCAACCTTGTGTCATGTAACCACTTTGTTCCCCTTTGTCTACTTTTAATCACGTTGTGTGCTGTCGTTGTCTTCCTATCCTCTGGAGTCCGATGGTAATGTGTTTTTAATTACCATCGCTACTCAGTTCTCCGGTGTGCGGTTAGTTTCCTCATAGTTGGGATGGCTTTCTAGTTGTGCCAGGACTAGTTTTTTTAATTGCCTCTCCTACCTTGTTCCCTTGTTGATTCTTGAGTCTTTCAATGCTGCCGAGACTAGTTTATCTTTAAGGGATTTGTTCCTCTTCCAGGCTAGCATAGGTGGTTTTTTTGGGAAACGTCCCCATGATGGGTGGTCTCCAAACCTTTCTTCTAGCCAGGTCCACAATTGGCTCATTGTGTTTTTGAGGGGTTTTTCAAACCCTTCGAAGGTTGTTACCAGGATATCCCTATCTTGGTTTTTCTCTATTTTCTGGGTTAGGAGTTGTTCCCTCGTTTTTTGCCCTAGTTTCTTTTTCGCTGCCTTTAGTACTTCCTCTGGGTAGTCCCTGTCTCTGAAAAAATCCCAAAGGTCCTCCAGTTGTTCATGTAGGGACTCGGGGTTACTGTTTATTCTTTTCAGTCGCAGGCCTAGGGAGTACGGGAGCGAGTTTTTTAGTGGCCTTGGGTGACTCGAGTCATACTGCAGGTATGTGTGGAGGTTTGTTGGCTTATAGTAAGCTTTAGTCTCCAGTCTGCGTGTTTCTGGGTTTACGTAAATCGTCGTGTCTAGGAAATTTAGTTCCCGTGTGTTCCGTTCTATCGTAAACTGCAGGTTGGGGTGGACAGTGTTCGCCCATGTATAGAAGGCGTCCAGGTTCCTGCCTGGCCCTAACATGATGCCGAAAATGTCATCTATATACCTGAAATATATTCTCGGTCCGCCCTGTAGGTTCCGTCTGTGATTCAAAGACCTCATGGACAAATATTTCGGCGATGGCCACACTGCTGGATGCTCCGATTGCCGTTCCTTTGACCTGCCTATAGGTTGTGCTTTTGAAGGTCAGTATGGTGTTCCTCATGACATGCAGGATTGCCTCTGTTAGGAGGTTTTTCGACGGTGGTCTATATATTCCTGCATCTCTCAGGTCTCTGCTGATCCTGTGGGCATTTCTGTCAAAGTATTTTGCTACTAGGTGCATTTTGCCCCCAAAATGCACCAAGAGCCAAGCCCACACAACATGCTGGATTGAAAACACATATGTGAAGTGAACACTAAGATAAGGAACAATATCTATGTCCTTCAGGACAAAGTCAATGAATGGCTGGCACTTCGATTGAAGCAACAGGGCTTGCCCACAACTGGTGGACTGGAACACTAAAGGCCGAACTTTTTTTTTTTTTTTTTTTTTTTTTGAAGATATATACAAGAGTTGTTACATTCTTGTACAGCCACTAGTACGTGTAGCATTTCGGGCAGGTCCCTGGAATACGATCCCAGCCGCGAAGAATCATTGTTACACCCAAGTACCCATTTTACTGTTGAGTTAAACAGAGGCTACAGTTAAAGATTTGCGCCCAGTAAATCCTCCCCGGCCAGGATACGAACCCATGACAAAGCGCTCACGGAACGCCAGGCGAGTGTCTTACCACTACACCACGGAGACTGCTAAATCTATCTAAATCTATCGATGAACTATCATCCATCACATCAGCAACAGAACTGAAATGAGAAGCCAGCTGAGGACTGGGTCTAGGCTGCCTTGGTGATTGTAATTGGAACCAATGCGTTTCAAGCTAGTTTGAGTGAATCCCTTGTTCAGTGTGAATTGTTTGCAATTTTGAGGCTTTGTTTTCCAGGAACTCTCCAGCTGTCTGTAAAGCTTCGCTGACTTTTTGGTGGGGTAGCAAACTGTTACTCGCTCCCTGTGCCTCTATGAGGGGGCCACATTGTAGCTCTGGTCCCTTGTAGGCCAAACAGAACTTCCATGAGTTCACATGAAAGATGTAACCTGTTAGTACAGAGGACTCTCAACACTATAGCTTGAGGGAGCCACAGGGAAAGAGGGGATGGATTGTCCCAACAGAAATCTCTCTCACTGAGGTTTTATCCATTTTCCAGTCCCTTCCAAACTTGCATATATACATAAACAATATATTACATAACCTAGAGTCCATTTATGCACATGATTTTTGCACTATTCTTAAAAGAAGTTTCCAAATATCTATCCCTACCTCTGCAACCCCAAAATCTGATATCTTGAGACTGCTGTCCGTACTTAGAAGAAGGTTCCCTGGCTTGATGTCTTTGTGGACAACACCTCTACTGTGCAAGTATTCCAACCCCTCCACAAGTTGCACGAAGTACCTGTGTCAAAACAAAAATGATGCGTCATACTGAACTTATATTTCTTATAACAAAAACATATGTTACAATATTTTTATAATAATTATAAATACATATAGCAACCTATCTTCCTGAAATTATAGTACTTTTGTAACTATGTCATCGATCGTACCAATATATAATAATTGAGCCCCAGTAGGCCACATTTTGTATTTTTTTGTATCGAGTCTGAAAAATAAAGCTAAAAACCAATTTTAAATATTCCTAGGACTAGTATAGCACATATGCTTAGGTTTCATTAGCAAATATAAAAACTTTTACTGTTTGACCAAATTCAATAATACAAAAGTATTGAACATGTTTGCAGATAAAGTTAAGATACTGGGGAAGACAGGAGACATAGACGATTGTCATGCGCTTCAAATTGATCTAGATAAAATACAGTAAGTGCTTGGAGCAACAAGTGGCAAATGGAGTTCAATATGAATAAATACCATGTTATGGAATGTGGAATTGGAGAAAATAGACCACACCCTTTCAAATTATGTGGAAAGTAATTAAAGAACTCTAATAAAGAACAAGATCCAGTGGCAGTTCTGGATAGTATCCAGAGGTGGTTTTGGATAGTAAACTGTCACCAGAGGAACATAAACAGAACATTGTGCGAGGAGCATATGCATCGCTTTCCAACTTCACTCTCTTTTTAATTACTGTACTTGGATGGTGAAATACTAAAGCAACTGTTCATGACTTTTGTGAGACCAAAATTAAGTGAGCGAGCGAGCGAGTGAGGGAGGGCGGGAGGGAGGGAGGGGTGTGTGTGGGGGGGGGGGGTGGGATACACTCTTAACACAAAGCACAGCTACAAACAGAAATCAGAGACACTATAACTACTGTACTCGAAAATAAATTTACAAACTGTACACAAATCAAGAGAAATGCTACATCCAATGATCAGCCCTTAGCTGCAGTCTCATTAAGTTGTTTACAAATTAGTTTAATTTGTAAACAAAAAAGCATAATCAGAACTCAGAGTGAGAAAAACACATTACAACACACACACAGTCACCAGCTTAATAAGGAGATCAATTTAACAGAACACCTTTCCTGGTAACTCACATGTGTGCTTGCCATATTGGAAACTTTTTATCTTTGGCTCTATCCAGCATTTCCTGGAGTCCTGTGACACAAAATTCCATCACCATGTATATCTGCAAGCAAATATTTCAGTTAGTACAAACATATGACAGAAAAGATAGAGCTAGCTAAACAACTGAGCTTAGTACTGCATAGTTAGTTTAAGCATAATATTTGTCTATAGATTTTTACTTGAAACAAAAATTGTGTTAATATGAAAAATATGAGGTTTACTTTTAAATTGCATATGAACTACCTAATTTGAAAATCCAATTCTATGCAATTCTAAATTTTCTAAGCCTACCCACCATCCATCCTGTTACTCTCCCAAATATGACTGAACAGTTTACGCCATTTTAAAACCCTGAATTTCGCAGAGCCCAGATTTAGCGAAGCCCTTGATTTAATGACCTGGGTACAGCCCCATATAGGTCGTTAAATCGAGTGGACATTGTTATGAATCCCAGTTCAGTATCCTAATTGCCTAATCATAACTTCTTGATCTTTCTTGCATAATGATCTGAGCATTTACACATTGTTCAGCTGATATCTGGCCACTCTTACACGTACAGTGGTACCTCGCATAACGATCGCCCCAAAAGGCGAACATTTTGGGTAACGACCGGCCCGATCAGCAATAAATCGTCCCGTATGGAGAACACATGTTTGAGTAACATCAACACAGCATGCTGGGGTCACGCTGCTTCTTGCACATTCTTGGATGCCTCCAATGATGCAAATAAATTAGGTTGTTCATGTTTAAAGATGCAAATGATGCTGGGATATAAAGGGGTGACTGCTGAGGTGTTGCAAAGCATTGACTTTTTGTAGAAAAAAGAAATGAAATTTCTGAAATACAGCAAATTTCAAAAAGGTTCGTTCGGTGTTCGGCAGGTACACTCCATTATAACCATTGCAGGAGGTCGAGGAGCTGGTCGGCCGAGCGGACAGCACACTGGACTTGTGATCCTGTGGTCCCGGGTTCGATCCCGGGCGCCAGCGAGAAACAATGGGCAGAGTTTCTTTCACCCTATGCCCCTGTTACCTAGCAGTAAATAGGTACCTGGGAGTTAGTCAGCTGTCACGGGCTGCTTCCTGGGGGTGGAGGCCTGGTCAAGGACCGGGCCGTGGGGACACTAAAAAAAAAAAAAGCCCTGAAATCAACTCAAGATAACCATCTTTCTTTGTTTCAAATGTGTTCCATTTGTTTTGTATTTGTCCTTTACGTCTCAATAATGGAGCAGCCTATCGTACATACATTGCACAAACCTTTATGACATTTTTCTTTCTTCAAATTTGTTCAATATTTATTTTTCATTTGTCTTATAGCAAAGGGTTCGTTCGGTGGTCGGCAGGTAGGCTGCTCCATGTTTCTTACATAAAAAAACGAAAATAATAAAAAAATTAAGAATTTTGAAAACCAGAACAAATGTCAAAAAGGTTCGTTCGGTTGTCTACAGGTAGGCTGCTCCATGTTTCTTAAAAAAAAAAAAAAAATAAAAAAAAAACAGTTGAAATAATTTGAAAAATGGACAAATGCCAGAAAGGTTTGTTCAGTGTTTGTCGGGTAGGCTGCTCCATTATTGAGATGTGAATGAAAAATATAAAACAAATGGAACACATTTGAAACAAAGAAAGATTGTTATAATGGAGCAGCCTACCTGCCGAACACCGAACAAATCTTTATGGCATTTGTCCATTTTCCAGATTGTTTCAACTGTTTTTATATTTTTCATTTTTTTTTTATTTAAGAAACATGGAGCAGCCTACCTGTAAACAACCGAACGAACCTTTTTGACATTTGTTTTGGTTCTCAAAATTCTTCATATTTTTTTTTTTTTTTTTTTTTTTTTTTTTTTTTTTTTTTTTTTTTTTGTACGTAAGAAACATGGAGCAGCCTACCTGCCGACCACCAAATGAGCCTTTTGCTATAAGGCAAATGAAAAATAAATACTGAAAAAATTTGAAGAAAGAAAAATGTCATAAAGGTTTGTGCAGTGTATGTAAGGTAGGCTGCTCCATTATTTAAAACATCAAATATCATATTGATGTTTTTCGGTGGTAGAACGGATTAATTTGATTACCATTAATGTCAAAGGGGACATTAGTTTTGTATGACGTCCATTTCACATGACGACAACGGCGCCGGAACGGATTAAATTCGTCATTTGAGGTATCGCTGTATTATAATTTTCAAGGCTGAGAACCATTCTAAAAATACGTCTAAAAACAGTGTACATTGCTCTATACTGTACATCTTTTAACAAAGAACCAAATAAATATTGTATTAGAATATACTGCTGCATTCATTCTTCACTCAACATAAACTGTCAAACTTCATTAGCAATACAAAATTAAATGAATACTGTAGTACATTAAATCACACCATACATCTTACTTTGCCTTTTTCATCATTGTGGTACACATGAAATAAACTAATAACATTCCGATGTTTCAGTCGTCGCAGCAGTCTTATTTCACGTTGAACATTCTGATCACCATTTGGAATTCTTCGAAGGGTCTTGCGTTTCATAATCTTCACCGCCCGTCGCTGGAGGGTATCTGAATCCAGGCATTCTTTGACTTTGCCATAGCTTCCTTCTCCCAATTTGTCACCCATTACATATTTGCCAACCAACTGATGAGAGAAAATGAGGAAAAATATAATTAACAACATACAGTAGAGTACTGTACTTGATAATTTAATGATTTTATCACGAGTCCAGTCTGAATTTTTAACAACTCTGAAAAAATTACTAAGCTAATTTCAATAGTACTTTAGTAAACTAAAATCCCAATAATAAAACAAAATTAATTTTAATAATTAAGAAGTCAACCCTCCTTGGGTTAATGTAAATTATTCTATACCTTATTTCTTAGTCGTACATACTACAGGATAATAGTTAAACTACTGCATTACACTATGCAAAAACTCATTATATATTATAAATTCTTATGACTAAGTACCTGAAAGGTATAACAATTTATGTACATGTTGATAAAGTTAGAAAAATTGCATAAAATATTGTCCAAAGCATACTGCAGCTGAAATTTAAAAAGTTCAAACTTACTTATGATATTGAATAAATTTTTCCACCATAACATGAACTATGGTCACTAATCAGGCCTATTAAAAAAATCATTCAATTTCCACAAGAAAGCATTAAATTTTGTTCAAGGCTGATAATCTCAAAAGCAGTCCTGATGACAGGCACAATAGTCTTGTTTACAATTTTCAGTCAGCATTGTCAGCCAAAAACAGAAGTTCTGAGCTCATAAAGATACACGTCTGGTATTGCATAGTCAGATACAATCCAAACAGTTTGGCTGGAAACATTCCAAGTCAATACGTGTAGAGAGAAGGAGAGCGATACAGTATATGCCATATTAGCTTGGTTCCGAGAGGAAGCCACACATATGGATAAAATATATTTAAAGTGTAAAAGCTGATGCCAAGAAATAATTGAGGACAGATCACCAACTGCACTCTCTATTTAATCCTTTTACATAAATGTATTCACCATTAAATTTACATCCATGTACCTAATTACTACTGGGTGCACAGAAGAAAATAGAATATAGGAATGTTTTTCATAATATTACCCCACCTGGAGTTCAACCTAAGACCTCACACCTGCAGGACAAACATACCCTGGGAGTCCTGCCCATCATGATGTACATAAACAAGAGCATGCTAAACAGGTCTAGATGCATCGTCTTCCTACTTCTTCAAATTCTAAGCGTCAAAATCACACTTTTCAAGTACTGCTTGCTCTGTGGTTGGGTTTTAGCTTGGGGTTTTAGGTGCTTCAGTTATAATGTTGATTAATAATATAAAACAATTGGTTCCAATTAGTGTGCTGTCTCCAGCCAGCCTGCAGAAAAGCGAATAAGATGCCTAAAATAAATCTTTTGGGCTAGCTGCAATGACGTTAAAGAATGTGTGACATTCAAATTATTTTTAAGTGACTGAAAACTTTTTTTAATAGGCTTGACAGAGGGAGCATTACAAATGCAGCCAACCTGAAAATCAAACAACTCTTCTGTGTCAGGTACATAAGCAAGGCATGACCATAACTGCACAAATTTCACACACACAACTTTAGTATTAATATAAAATACAAAGAGATGGCTATGTAAAAGTGTAACAAATACTTTAGGTATAGTACATACTAAAATTAACCCTATGCACTCAAACTAATACAAAAAAATAAACAAAGGCCTGTCATGCACAGCACTTCTACTCTGTACTTGGGTTCTAATGCTACAAGATGGCTGCAATCTTAGCATTAAAATACCTTACAGAACATACATTCAGGCCGCTTACTAAGCAAAGCACAAAAAAAAAATCACAACTTTGTGGCCTAATATAAAAGTTTCTTGTATACAGTTACTTGGTCAAAACTTAGGTTTGAATGGACACTTAGGATTATACAGCTGTGCACACTGCATGGAAGCTCAGATATTCTGTAATTGTCATGCTTAATAGTGCTTAAAATAAGATAAGATAAATAAGACCTTCCTACCTACTCTAATTCAGGGGGGCATGAAACTGGGTAAAGAAAAACTGATAAATGCACAAATTACAGGCTAAACCTATAGTTTTTCACACCTACACCTTACCACATACAAGCAAACTTTGGAAATTTCATTAATTTTCTGGAAAAGAAAGTAAATTCAAATTCTTTATAATAACACACAGTAGTATAGTACTTATTTTTGTATGCCATAACATAGGACAGGAAGAAGAGACAGTTCACCTTATGGTTTCCCATAGATGGAACAGGAAGCCTGTTATGCTTGACTGAGGTCCCACTAGGCCAACTACCAATCATCTCCAGGATGCAACCTACAACAGTTGCCTAGTTTCTGAGTACCTATTTACTACTAGGTGAAAAGGGGCTTCAGGTGAAAGGCAATGTTGCTTAAAAGTTTGTCCTATCACAGGAATCAAACAAGAAACTTTTTATCCATGACCATCCTGTGCTTATCACTACATAAAGAAGAATCTGGGCAATAAGTGAAATACTGTACTGTATATAAAGCGTTAGGAGGTGGGGGCATAAAGACCTTGACTTGACACAATCGACTTGAGAATGGTCCAGGACGGACCGAAACGTCGTCGTCCCTTCAATTTCTAGTGTGTGGTCTGGTCAACAAAAAAAAAGACCTTGATCTCGGTCCCCCATAGTCACTGAGAGGTGAGCATGGTTTAACTACTCCAACTCACCAAGAAGTGTTACATGGTGACTAAGTTCCAAACATTACTTAGAACAGGAAAAACATAAAGAGGGTAATGCCCCAGAGTAGGGGCTGTGAATATCAAAAACTGGCAAAAGACAAGAAAATCCTAGACAGAAGTAAGGACAATTGAAAGAACTCGTGACACAAAGAGGTTGGCATAAACACAAGCCATAAGAGCATAAAAATGATACTAATAGAAAAAAAACTATACAGTACAGTATATGATTTTATCATTCCAGAAAGTCAAAACCTCGTCTTTTATAAAAACTATGTATTCCTCTGAAAAAGATGCAACATCACTAAAGAATCAGGCAAACAAGTTAGATGTAATGTTAACAGGTTTTGTATGGGGGACATGTTTAGATATGTTTGTTTAATTTTCTCTATGAGCCTTGGTTAGTTTGGCAAATTTTTACTTTCTGTACAGTTTGCTGTACAGGTAGGCTAAGCTATGATCCCAATGCTTTACTCGCCTCTAATGCGAGAAAAGGAATCTGGTCCTGTGTTGTCAGCAGGCCTACAAAAATTAATAGGCAAAATCATTATCATTTGCCCTTTTGAATTGATGCCTTTAGCTCACATAAGCCTCTAAGGATTCCAAGATTCCATTTACCTATAAAATAATACCACAATCTAGTTTGCAGATTCATTACTTATTGAGGTATTAAGATCAGTATGTCAGTAGCAAAAAATATAAAGCACAAGAGGAGATCAGCCACCTTATTGCCAGGCTAAGCCAGGTAGTTATATTGGATCACATTTGTTAAAGATTTTTTTAAGAATGAACAAGTTTATTATTATGTATTCTATCCCCATTATGTATTCTATCCCCACCTTCCTCTCAATACTAAAGTATTGCACAACATTCTTACAAAAACATACAGTACTTGGTACTAGAGTCTAAAATCCAAAAACCCGAAGCAGCTCTGTTTTGGCCAAGAACTAGAGTTTTCCTGTCAGTGCTTACCTATCAGTGACAATGGAAGAGTGAAATTTAGTTTTTTAGGCCCTGTCTCCTAGCCATTCAATACCAGGTGTGCTAATTACCCCTCTCAACATTAATGTTTTTATCATACTGTATTTCTTTTTTGAAATGACTTGAATGACCTCTTCCTTCAATGCATTCCACTTGCCTACCACCCATATGGGGAATAATAACTTTCTAACATCTCTTCGACTCGACTCAGTACTGTATAAGGCGCACAGCACTTAACTTTCACTTAACTTCCGTCCAGGGCGCGGCCGCCCGACTGGCGCCGTCCAGGGCGCGGCCGCCCGACTGGCGCCGTCCAGGGCGCCAACCAGGGACGCTGTCGCCTGACTGACACCATCCAGGAAGGTGTTAGCAAGGGCCAAATATTACATGTGCAGATTTCAGATCTTCCCTCTGACTCAGCAAACACCTTCATCCCTTCCACCCCACCCCAATTTCCCTTTCAATGTTACAACCAGATGGTTCTAATGACAGTGAAAGGGATGACCTTGGAACAACTAGTACAGTACCCAATGCTAAACCCTGCCCAGGGAATAACCCATGCAGGCAAAATTCAGGCTCCTGCTACACTGCCACCTACAAACTCATGCACTCTACACCATTAGACAAATTAAAATCAAACAATTCAGAGCTGCCAGAGGCAGAGACATGCATGCCAACTTGGAATCCTACACAAAACCCAGCCAGATTCAAACCCATGATAGAACTAACTGGTACTTCCACCAATTGATCGAGAACCCAAACCTGGCCAACTAGGAAAGCCAAATCCCTGACCTGCAGACAAGCAGAATGCCTGGGAATCCAAACCAGCCAGTTGTCAAGGTAGACCAAGATGCAGACCCCAACAATTGAAAATGAGAAACCAAGGCCCCGTGTCAATCTTGCTAAAGTCTGGAAAGGCAAGCTCTGCCTGAAAGAAAGGACCCAAAAGCAGTAACAAAAGACATAAAAGCTGGCCAGTCTGAAAGTCTTGCCAGCCCCTGAATCTGGAATGTATATGGATGTGCCAATACACATTCTTCAGGTCCAAAAATACCATCCAGAACCCCCTTGAAATGCCAAGTGTACCTGACTGAAAGTGGCTATGTACAAGGTCAGACAGAATGAATTAATTCAAACTCAAGAGGTAGAGAATAAACCAAAGATCAGGTTAAACCAAAGATACCCACTTGGGGACCATGAACAGATGGGTCACCAACCACAGGGAGGGAGTCAACGCTATCACCTTAACAGCCAAACACTCCAAGATAACCAAATGGAGTAGAGTGAATGACATAACCTGGACCCCTGATACTAAGTGGGGGGAGGGGGTTGAAGACAACCTGCACAGAAGACCCAAGGACATTACTCGAAACACCACACACATCATGAGTCTAGGCACGAGAGGGAAAATAGTCAAC